GCTTGACTTAGGGTTTTCTAATTTAAGAATCAAAGCTTCAGCCCACTCCTATCTGGTTTATTGCTGAACACTGGCCAGAGCATGTTTTGCTTCCCAGGATTCAAAATGTAAGGGAATAAAAACCCTGAAAAAAATAAAGCTGTATGGGAACTCTTGAGTAAAGAAAGGGATAGCTTATGAAAGAGAAATGTTCTCCCATGTCTTCAGAGGAGATGGAGGGTTATCTGAGCTCAGAGCACATGAGCAGCCTACAGAGGCAAGTTGCAAGCTGCCAATTAAATCTCCTTTTCCTTTGCGAGGCTGAGCAGGAGGTAAAAGGGTCTGAAGGTCCAAGAGTGTGAGGAAGGCTTGGGTACATCAGATATTGAGCACATTTTAGATGGAATGGACAGGACAGTGTTATGACTTTAAGCATCATCATCTCTGTGAAGGACTTTGTTGCTCATGCAGGGAAATCCCCTGTGGCAGGGTGGCTGGTGGGAAGGGGGAGCACACATTGCCACAAGGCAGCAGCTATCTCAGGTTGGTCCACACAAACCCTGTATGAACTCTGTGATGTTCCCAGGTGAGGAGGGTGTCTTCAAGGCAGAAACTGCAGGTAGAGCTGCTGCCTGGCTGTGTGAAGGCTTCTTCATGTGCTGCTTCCCTTTCCTTACACCACACTGTCTGTAACTGTGCTCCAGGTGAGCAGGTGAGCCAAACATCACCAGGTGGTGCAGCAAAGGGCTTTCAGATCAGCTAGTGAGAGAGCTGGCCTCCTTCTGCTTGTGGCTTCATGGCACCAACCTGAACTGCGTGATAGCAGTGCCATCTTTCCCCTTCCTCTCTTGGGGCTCTCTGCATCATCCAGGACCTCCTGTAGGGCTGGTCACAATTCTCCAGGTGGGAAGACTGCTTCAGACTTGAAAGGATGAGGCCTAAGCTACCTGGGAGCTGAGGGTGGAGGGCTGCAGGTGCTCTTGGTGGAGCCTTTGAACATACCAAGTGCTGCAGGATGTAGCTGATTGTTGTTTCTAGTCAGGCAGCAGAGGGATCAGCTGCTTTTATCTCTCTGAGCCCTCACTCCCCAGCTGGAGAGTGGCATGGTGTTTGCCCCCTCATTTCCCAGGGTTGTTCAGAGCGGTCATTAACCTTAAAATTGGTGAAGCCCCTAGTCACTGAACAGTGAGCACCTTAGAAAAGCCTGGAAGAAAACTTCGTTCTGGTGCCAGAGGCAGGTTTGAACAAGTACCATCAAATGCTGGATAGTGAGCAGAGACAGAGCTTTACATCAAGACAGTGAGGCTTCACATATCCTGGCCCTTCTCACTTTCTCAAGCAGCTTTCCTTGGTCTTGCTGCTCCTTTCTCTGTTTTGTGCCCATGGGAGCACAACAGGTGGGGTTTCTGCATTCTCAGCTGGTCCAGGGAGGGCTGGTTTGGCTGCTGGCAGGGCTGGCCTGCCTGTGATGCAGCAAGGACCACAGCGCCCTTCCTCGGGGGTCTTTGGAGCCCTGGGACTGCCACAAGAGGGTCTGCAGCAGGTAGGTGGATGTAAGTCTGTTACTGAGTTTGGACGTTGTCCATACTTTAAACGGGAAAAAAATAGCAGGGTGAGAAATTTGGAAAAGGCTGAAGAGTCCTTTGAGAACTTGCTGTTTAAAAACTTACAAATACCTTTTTTTTTTCCCCCATACTTGAAATGTTGGTAAATTTGATGCATAGATTAAAAAATTGGTTTTTCTCTTCCTTAGTCTCCAGCTTGGAAACATTTAGACTCACTCCCTCTTCCCCACACAAAAGCTGTCTCAGCCAGAGCAGGCATAAATATTTTTATCAGGCTTAAATAGCTTGGGCTGAAGTTAAAAGCAATGGAAAAGAGCGACCTTTGTTATGGGGAAAGCTGGAGCCCCGTAGCAGGCAGTGCTACTGGTTTCACCTGTATTATTGAGTCTTTCCATATTAGCCAGGAAAGCTGCATGTGATGAGATGTGGGAACGCTGTGCCCATACCACCCTTACTGCTGCCAAGGCCAGGCTCCACTGACCTTGATCACTGAGCATCATTAATCTTAAGCCTTAACTAAGGTTAATGTTTGGCTTCATTTTCTGGTGTGAATAGCTACAGTAGCAAAAGGGCAGTTTTGACCAGGAGGACTTCCTGTGTTCAGGCTGAAAACAGACGTGCCTCTTGCAGATTCATACGATCTGAAGATTTTGTCACTTCCAGTTTTCATAGTGACTCTCTTCCAGAGTTTGATGCCTGTAGAATTTGCTGGGGCAAGAGATGTGTGTGTGCTGCTCTCCTGCAAAATCAGCTGGGGTAGCCTAGAATGTCAGTGACCTGGAGTGAATTCAGCTGAGCCGGCCAGTGATGGACTTGGGGATGCCAGGTCTAACCCCTTCTGCTACCAGAAGGGACAGGTAACTTCTGGAAGTGGTGTGCCCATGGGCAGCTGGGCATGAGAGAGTCTTGAAGACTACAAGAAGATCCCAGGAAAGCTGACTTCTTTCAGCCTTCTGCATCTAAGAAGTAACCTGGTAACAGTAAAACATTCCATCTGCAGGGACAGAGGTCTAGCGGGGCAATGCAGCAATGTCATCCTGGTCAAGACTACAAGAAGGAGGCACCTGGCCCCTGGCCATGTTATTTTTAAGCTTGGAAAGCACATGTGGTCTGCGAGAGCGTAGCACTAAGGAAAGGAACTCACCAGCACTTCCTGCCCTGCCCCGGCAAACTGATAAAGCCCTTTGCAATGCAGGGCGACCACAGTTTATTTTTAAAATGTGCCCAGGCATGGAGCTCACAGAATAGCTGGAACACCCAGATTTGGGCATTAATTCAGCTTTAATTCATTGCCTGATGAATTAAAGAGTTAATGTAAATGTAAAAAGGACAAGACAGGCCCGCAAACCATCTCCAGAGAAATGACTGCATAAGAACGTTTATCTATGCATGTGCATGGGATCTAAAGAAAGGGAGTTGGTAGATGTTGCACAGGGAGGGGCACGTAGCATTATCCTGAGCACCGTGTGAATTTTCTTGATGCTTGGACAATGCATCTCAATCCTGTTCCCTTCCCTTGTTATTCCAGTCCCAGCCCTCTCATAAGCAGAGATAATTGCATGCCGAAGGATACAGTTCCCATATACAGTAAATGCTCACATGGAGGAAATCTGGGTTCCTGCAGTCAAAAGCCAACAGTTTGTTGCGTAGTTACGATAACAAGGTCCACTGGGATGGATCTGTCTTTATTGTGTGCCCTGTGGAGGCATAAATGAGATTGCCAGAGATGTTCTCCTTGCCCAGATGCTGGGACAGCAGGATTGCTGTAAACCAAAATATGCAGAGTTCAGGCCTGCAAGGAGCTATTGCAGGGGGATGGGAATTACACCCTCAGCTCCTGGAGCACAGAGCACCTCACCATCTCTTGGCTTTCTGTGAGAGAGCCTCATTCCCACAACAAGATTTGTTAGGACTGAGATTACTATTTCTGGTCTGATTGATTAGGTATTTTATTGATAGCCTTATTTCTGTAATAAAAACCCTTCTCTCTCAAACACGCTTTTGAGGGATTAAAGCAGCTGTTAAAATTTCTTCTTTCTGCTGAAAGAAGAAATATCCCTGCTTGTCAGCTTTGTTCTTCTGATCTTCCTGTGCTGGGACTGAGAAGTGATGTTGCCAGAAGGAGGGACTGGTGAGCTCTCTACGTCACCGCAGTGGGTGACAACTTCAGGTTGTACTGCCCTGCGCGGGCACTTGGGCTCTTGATAGCGATGCCAGCCCTCCAGAAACAGAAATGCCACCTGGGAGGAAACAGCCCAAGCACCATCTGGCCCAGCCCTCTGTGAGGTCTTGTCAGCACCAGACAGATACTCCGGCAATGGGACCATGTTCTAAAAAGTTGGGAATTAAATTCTTTCATCATGAGTCCCATGGCACAGAAGGCTTTAATAAATGTGAGGTTCGAACAGCAGAGCCAATAACCACACAAAGCCACTCCAAAACACAGTAGAGGGCTCAGTCATGCCAAGGGCCTGTGCAAGGGGTGACTTGTGGGACTGCTGTGGGCACATGGCTGTTGTGTTCCTCACAGCCAAGCTGAGGGCACTTCCAATGGGAGTGAGCTGGCTGCAAGCACAGCTGTTAAAGGGAGTGTTTGGGGGAGATGGCTTACATCAAAGCCATGGTGTTTACTAATGTGTTCCACAGATCAGTAATGTAGTAAGCACCAAAAATAAACAACCTGATGCTTTTAAAACCACTTGGCTAAGAGAAACCCTTTCCAGTTTAACAATGTCTCTGTTTCTTCCCTTTCTCTTGGGACCGTGATCATGAAGCATCCTGGAGGCCAGAAGGGTTTGCCACAGCCTGATCCTGATGGTGTTGAAAGGCAGGAAGAGCTTTGCCTGTAGTGCCTTTTTAGAAGCACAAAACCATGCAGGCTTGTTCCCACACAGGTGCACATAACCAGCACTGGCAGTGAAGGTTAGCTCTGATCCAAGCAGGCTGTGTGGCTTCCCAGACATGCATAACATGGAAGGTAGTCAGGACAGCCCTGCCTATGCCATTGCCACATCTGCAATATCAGCCTTATGTTGAGGAAAAGCAGTGCTCATCTCCAGTTCTGCTTTCTTACCTGGCAAGGTCCTTCCTGCTTCTTTCCCTTTCTGTCCCAGGAATTTTAAGGAGGGGAAGGAGGATGAACATGCCCTCCCCACACTGCCCCAGCAGCATCACAGGGGGTTGACAGGAGCTAGTGCCTTCACAGTTCTGTTCTTCAAAGATCACTTGATAAGAGCCACTTTCATTCTCACCAAAAGCTGATAAAGCCTCTTCAGGAAGTTGGTTGATAACTTGCAAAAACACCATGCACTTAGGAGCTTCTAGACTCAAGCTTTTTTTTCAGGGCTAGAAAGGATGCCAAAGTTTTTATTCCAGTCGGAAGTTTCTTTCTTTTTTTTCTTACTTAAGGGAATATGCCCTGAATAATGGGTCATTCTGCCTTTCTTTCTCTTCCAGGGAAGGAACTGCCATGCCTGTGGGAATCTTCCGGGTGTGCCTACTGGTGATTACAGCTATCGTCAACCACCCGCTCTTCTTCCCTAAGGAGAATGGCACTGTCCCCGAGAACATGGAAGAAATCATCCAGAAGATGAAGGAGCGGGAGGAGAGCCTTTGGCTGGAACAGTTGCGCTTGGAGCAGGAGATTGCAGACCAGGAAGCCACACAGAAGGCTCTGGAAAAGGCTGCATTGGTAGTGGAGGAAACCAAAGAGGAAAAGGTCCGATGGGATATGTGGACTGCCCTTTCCCTGGTCATCTTCCTGCTGATCGAGCTCTGGAGGCAGGATTTCCAGGAAGGGAGTTGGCAGGACATAGGAGGAGAAGAGGATGACATGGCTGTCCTGGGGAAAGCATTTAAAGGAGTAGCCTTCCCTAACAAGGCTGTCTTGGCCAGCTTTTATGAGAGGCGCATCCTGGGCACCACCGGAGACATGGCCAGGATGCGGGAGATGGTGGAAGGCTTTGCAGATGACCTGCTGGAGGCCTTGAGGAGTGTTTGTAACCGGGATGCTGACATGGAAGTGGAGGATTGCATGGGTGTGGGGAGCATGTATGAGAACTGGAGAGTGCGTAAACCTTTCGTCTGTGATCTGATAGTGCCTTTTGCCCCCCCGGAGCCATACTGCTTTCGCTGCCAGACCTGGTGCTCTGGGGACTCTTTTCCCCCAGATGAACAAGGTTATGGCACTATCAAGGTGTGCAGGGCAGATGAGGATGTGACAGGTTGCATCTGTGACAAGACTAAACTAGGGGAAGATATGCTATGCCTCCTCCATAGCCAAGTCAGTACTACCAGGCCCAGCAGTGAGATGGAAGACCTCCTGTGCTTCAAAAATACTCAATATCTGGATGCCGACCAAGTCATGAAGTGGTTCCAGATTGCTGTCACCAAGGCCTGGAACAGAATCTCCCACAAGTATGAATTTGACCTTTCCTTCAGCCTCCTGGACTCGCCAGGAGCCCTGAAGATAAAATTTAAATCAGGGAAATCGATTGCCTTCAACCTCACCCCTGTGGTGCAGTATGAAAACTCCGATGTTTACTTCATCTCCCATTTCCCTCGGAGCAGCCTGGCAGCAGATGTCCCCTCCAGCACTCACTGGTTTCTCACCTTCGCAGTCTATGAGAGGAGGTTCATCCATCTGGTCTCCAAAACACTGCCTGCCAATGCCTGCCATGTCAGCTGCCTGCAGATCCTCTCCTTCCTCCACGGGAAGCAGTGCAGCCTCACAGGTCCAAGCGGGCTCACCAACTACCACCTGAAGACAGTGATGCTGCATCTTCTGCAGGCACGTCCCAGTCAGGACTGGGCCCCAGAGAAGTTGGAGGCTCGTCTACAGGACATGCTGAAATTCCTGGAGAAATGTTTGCATGAAAAGAAGCTCTACCACTTCTTCATTGGCAATGGGAAGGTACCAGCAGAGCTGGGTTTCCCAGTCGTATTTCAGAGGGCTGAGCCTCTCAACCTTTTCCGTCCCTTTGTGCTACGCAGGGACGTTTACAGGAAGACAGTGGACACGTTCCACGAGATGCTCAGGAACATGTCTGCACTAATAAATGAGTACACAGTGCACATTCCCCTTGCACACACCAATGGGATCCGTAAGGAATCCCTTTAACCAAAGCCAAACTCTAAGCACAAGTCCAGAGGGCAACTTTCTGAAGCCTCCTCGAGACAATTGACTTTGCCAGTACAGCTTCTTGTCTGCAGCTGAACCAGTCCTGGGCCATGGTTCCTGCAGGGAGGGAGAGGCAAGGTGAGGAGGGTAGGTAGAAACTGGAAGATGTGGTATTGAAGTAGGTTTCTGCTCCACTGCTGTGCTGGCTCAGTTTTTTGCAGCTAAGAATATATTTTTCTATTGTGCCTCAGTCATGCTGCAGTGGTGGTTGAGGAACAAATACAACTAATTTATTCAGATACCTGCAATGCAAACAGTGGTGGTGGGTGATGGTGGCCAAATACTTCATTTCCTTTGGAAGAGGGAGATAAGGGTGGAGGAATCAGAGACAGGATCTCGGGGTCAAAGGAGTCTGTCTGCTCACAGACAAGAGGAGCTCTGCCACTGACCAAGGGAAGCGCAACATAAGACTCCATGCTTGTGTGGAGAGGAGGAGGGTCATGCACAACATCTGGACTGGTTGGAGATCCCTAAATCAACCACAACTTCAAAGGGACTTGCAGCGGTAGTTTAAACGGCTTGTCCTGTCCTTCAAAAACACCCTGCATGCTGCACATTTCATCTCCAGTGGAAGGATGTAACAGGGTGCAGGGTCTGTGTCTTCAGACCATTTCATTCGAGTCTTCCATGGTAACATAGCTACTGGTTTATATTCCTGGCCATTTTCTATGGACAAATGGACAGGAATCTTTTTTACCTTAGATAAAAGAAACATCACTATTGAGTTCTGACATTTTGGTTTATTTGTTTGTTTTCCTTACTTTGGTGCAGTAAGGCTGAGAACAGCCAAGAAAGGAAAATGGAGGTTGAACTACAGGATCTTTTGAGGTCCCTTCCTACCCAAACTATTCTAATTCTATAACTGCTATAGATTTTGCTTTCATAAAAGAAGCAGTTCTCCAAAATTATCCTGTAATGAAGCCAGTCTCAGCAGTCTGGTAGCAGGAGTGAACAACCACCCTCCAAATGAGAGGGCATCTCCCCGCATGGTTTTAATGAGGCCAAGGCCAGCAGGATCACTCTGAGTCAGGAGGAGGAGAAGGAAGGGATAAAAAAGGTGCACGTGTAGTAGAGCTTGGCAGTGCTGTCTCTGCAACTCCCTTGTGATCAGTGTTATATGCCTTCTGCTCCACATACACAGGCAAAAGCTCCCTTATAGGGTCTCCTCAATCTTTTTAAAGACTGCTGCTCTGATGAGGCTCTGAGGAGCTGCTGCTTGCAGACTGTAATTTGCTGAGCTGAGAGTGTGAAGGATTAGTGAGCTGCTGCAGGCTTTCAAGCCAGGGGAGCGTCTTGTGGCACATGCTAAAAAAAACCCAAACAATGCAGAAATGGAGATGACTGAAATCCCTCAGGAATCAGCATGTTTGCTGTGCCAGTGGGCTGCCCAGCCCCAGCAAGGTGGCTTTGCTAGAGGAGAGGGCTCAGGAGACCCTCACCCTTTTCAGTGTGCTTTGTGCAGGGTCCAAGCCAGGGCCTCAGTGCAGATTTGCTTTGTGCTGGTCACAGAAGCCTGGGTTCCAGTGCTAAGGGGCCTTTGCTATCATTTTCTTACACTAGAATTTCCTGCAAAGTTTTACACTAGGGCTTCTCTGAATCCTGTTTACAAGAGGGTAGTTTTTCTGTGAGGTGAGACCCATCAGGGATGATCTTACCACATTCCATTGGTCCCTTTTTATCGGTCCTCTCTTATCATATCAGATACAAGATTTAATCCTGTATCACTACTGGGGACAGCATACAGCATGAGGCTTATTATCCAGCCTGTTGATAAGCAAACTCTCCATAGTCATGCCCTCTCCTCCCTTTTCCTGCTAAAAACCATTTCACCGCTTCATTGATGTTTGCTCTTCTCTGTCCCACCACCAGTGATGGACACTTTACGCACAAAGGCAGAGAAAGCTTTTCCTGTCTCCACACCTGGTTTGTAAGAAAACACAGGTGGGGACAGGGAACTCTTTGCTCAAATGGCTGCCTCTCTTGGCTTTTATTATGACGGCTATTGGGTAGTTAAGTGATACCTCTGAGCAGAAAGTAAGGGGTAGGTAGGAAGTAAAATGGGAGAGGAGAGTCTGGTGAGTAGTGCCAATAGGAAAGAGTCTTGGATCATCAGTGCTTGCTTCAGAACCTTGGAGATGAGTGCCTGGGATGGGAGACTGCCAGGGCTGGCAGAGAGGGCTGGACTAATTGCTAACGCTAACGAGTGCTGTAAGCCCCTGGCTTTCACTAGTACAGCCAAGCAAGCCTTCCCCAGTTGGAAAGAGAGCAGGAGCAGTCTCAGGGGACACGACAAGCAGGTAGTGACAAGCAGAGGTACAGGGAGGGTGGGTCCTAATACTGCAGCCTGGAGGCTGCATAGGAAGCTGTGTAAGTTGTTGCAAATCCAAGCAATTTGCCATTTTTACCTGCCCAGGTTTACTGCACAGTGCCTGTAGCAGATCCAGCTTTGCATGGGCTGGTGGCAGGCAGGTCACGCTGAAGAAGTTGTGGTTGGAGTTGGTTCTAAATGTGTTCCTAGCCCAGCCAGAGAGAAATAAAAATTTCTCTGCCGTTTCCTGTCAGGAGTCTAAATTTAGACTGTCCAAAGAACAGAAACAAATTTGTGACACAGGTCTCTCAGGAAATGACATTCAGGGTTGAAAAATAACTTTTATATAAGGTTGAGCAGGGGGAGCATGAGAAGAAAAGGCTGTTGAACAGAATAAGGTAACTCCCCTATTAAAATGTCAGAACAAAGCTTTGCAATGCCAGTCCTACGGGCCTGTAAACGAGCCCAAACTCGTCTTTACACAGCTCCAAGCACTGCTGCTCAGACTCAAAGGGAACCTAAACTGATAAGTGGATTAAGTCTTTTGTTCTTTGTTTTCTGTACTTGTGTGCCTGTTCTCTCTTAAGCCCAAACTGACCCCGAAGTGTTCTCATGGGGTTTAGTTGAAACCAAGCTGGAGCTGAACCAATGAATTTATGGATTTGATTCCACTGAAAGAAATTGCTTGGCTTAATTTTCCTACATACAATATGCTCATTTTGCCCTGAGCACCTTTTAAGAGGTCTGTTCTGTGCATTTAGGCTGTAAGGAAACCCACGCATACCTGTCTGGGGGGAAGAAGTGGTTTGTGATTATAAGCTGTGCTCCAGTGAGCCTCAGGGCAGAGATCTTCCTTGTCAGCCATATACCAGAGGTATAGAAGTGTCCTATCAGAGGAGATGTGGGTACACAGCGTTTCTTTGGACCAGACCTCTGCAGTGGTACAAGGAGGTCATGATGTGAAGCACATCATTCCTTGGACTTCCTTGTCTGTCCTGTATTAAATCTTTGCCCAACAAGTACTAGCCCTATCAGTAAAAGCCCACACTCACATTTCACAAAAAAGGTTTATAAAACAGTTCAGCTCCATCAGCTGTCAGGCAGTAAAAATGCCCTAAAACATTTTAGTGTTGCCCATGTGTAGTTCTGCCTTGACTGAAATCTGGGTGGGCATTCATAGGAAGCAGCTTTAAAGGATGGAGGTAGAAATGAGAGTTTGTGGTTTAAAGTGGAAAATGTTCTTTTAAAACCAAACTGCGTATGACATAAACACAACATGTCTTTGGCAATGCCTGCATCTCTGTAAGACATTCTAGGGAAGGGTAAATGGCCTGTCCTGCACCCCTTCCTTGTGTCTCAGTACTGTTCTTGCTATTTGCTAACTGGGTGAATTCAATAGATGAACTCCTAGTGCCTTCTGCTGCTTTCCAACCACTCCCTCCACCCTCAACTTGTGGTTTTAATATTTTATTATAGGCTCTGTCAAAGCAATGGAATTAGTGGTGGCTTGATAGCAGCCACTGATCTACAGCCTAGCCTCAGGAGCCATTTGCCTTTAGGAAATGTCTTGGTCTAAGGTTATTGCTGTTCAGGAGCTGAATGTCTTCTAAGGGGAGCTGTTGTGTGTTCACTCTTTACTATGTGGCAGCCACAGAATACAGCTTCTCTCTCTCCAAGTTGCTCTATATACAGGTCTTAGAGGGGTATAAAGATGTATTTTAGCAAAAGGATCCAAAAGTTTATCCAGTATTCAAGCAGCAGGATTTGGTGCTTGTTCACCAGACATTTTTAATGCAAAGCCTTTGCAATGTTTTCTCTGTGGTGAAGAAATAAGACTTTATGCACCTGTAGCAACTTTGCTGCTGACCATTGAGGGGTTGGCTCTCATAAGAGCCTGCCGAGTAAACAGCTTTATTTATTACTTGTCTTTTTTTAGGATTGGGGGTCTGTGTGTAATACATTAGCTCAGAAGCAAAACTGTAGTCTGGCAATGCAGCTGAGATGGGCAGTAACACCAGAACTCTCCAAATTAAGGTCTTCCTTGATTGACAATGCTGTACTTAAACTGCTGCTTTTATAGCAGGACACTGTTGAATTTGTATAGATCTTCTCATGCAGCTTTATTTATAATAAAGTCTTGTACAAAATCTAAATTAGTGTGAAGTCTCGTTTGTTTCTTGCTCCCCCAAAAATGCTTCTAAGAGAGCAGAAGGATAGAGTGGGGATATTTCCAGTGTGATACTTGCACAGTGAGCCCAGCATCAGAATCCCTGCGATTCCTGACCAACTGTAGAAATAGCTCCAGAATAAACTGCAATGTGAATATAAAGTGGAATAGCTATTCCAAAATAATGCCAGGGTTGTCAGTCTTCTTGAGAATATGAATCCACAGGAATTCAAAATAATTATTCTGAATACATCTGCACAAAAATACCCTTTCATGGCAAGTTCTAAATAACACTGGTAGATGTTGCCCTTTTTGGCTGAAACAGAAATCTCCTGAGTTTCCAGTTTAGCTAGAGGAATCCTCTTTACCTGCTTCTTTTATGGGTATCCAGAGCCAAGTTGTAGCAACCACCCACCACCATTTAATCTCCTGCTTAAAACCTTAGCCTGCTTAAAGGAATGGCACATCCTTGTTAATATTCCAATGTGCTCTGGCTCTGGAAGCAAACCCAAAGCTAGTTATTAATTCATATAATAAAAACACCACTATTTCCTTGGCTACATGCCTTCCAGACCCACAGAATGCTCTGCATACCTTTAATAACTCTGCCTTCCAGTGACCACTGAGGCTGAATCAGCACTGAGCAGCTCTGAGAAGCAGCTGGCTTAAAAGCTGCAGCACAAATCTACCTAAACAGGAGTTAAAATTTCTCAGGGTCAACCACACACACTGAGGTAAAGGGAATTCTGTAGTACAGGATCATAAGCAGTCTTGGTCGTTTTAGTGCAACTTTGTTATTGAAAAAAACAAAACAAAACAAAAAAATAAACCTACCATGCTTCAAAGCTGTCTGACAAGCTCAGCAACATTTTCTCCACTAAGCTGTCGATTTCCTACAGCATTTTTTTATCTTTGTCTCATTTACTGCTTCATTGTTGCTAACAGAAGAGGTAACATCACTATAAAATCCATTTTCAGAAGGACAACTAGCAGATCTTTGGTCCATGCCATGACTATTATTACAGTATTATCTGTCATAGAGTAGGCAGAGCAGAGAGCGCCAGCCACTAGAGATTATTTTTAGGCCTCCTAGGAGTGAAACAGTTTTACTCTAGGCTTCTTGTGTTTTCCTTCTTTCCAGGCTTTTTTAAAAGCCCTTTTTGCAATATGTTGGCTTTCATCAGAAGTCTAGCAGCCTAGAGCTTTGTCATACAATTATGTCTATACCACAGTCCAGAAATGTGGAAATGTGCTTCCTGCACCTGTAGACAATATTCTTAGAGATGGACAAAAGTTCCTGAGGTAACAACCACCCTGCAGCTCAAACCTTAAATGCGTGCATCACACACTCAGACATGCTTGGTTGGTGTGTAAAGTCATTGTCCTGGGATGTCCTTCACTCCTTGAGCAAAGGGACAGATCATCCCAAGCTTGGCTAATGAGCACATGAACTTCAACTGAGAGCAAATCTCTCGTTCTTGTCCTCTCAGTCTCTTCAATAGGTAATTGCCTTTCACTTGCAACTGTTTTTCTTAAAAAAAAAAAAAAGGAGCTGCCTTTTATTAATGATTGTACACCACCAGCACAGTATAGGGTTTTTTGCACTGAACACTCTGTGTCATGGGCCTGGAAACTGTGTGTACCAGCCATTCCCTCCAGCTGCTGCATAGCTAATTGCTCTATGACCCATTCTAGGTGTCTGCCTCTCTCCTTCAATATTCCATTTCATCTAAAATCAAAACTGCAAGGAGAAATTTCAGGAAAAAAAGGCTGATTTTCACTTAGCTTTAGGAAAACAGCACTTGCTATTCCAGCTAGAGGCATCTCTAATCTCAGTTTTTATTACCACTTGATAAAGACCCCTGAGAGATGATGTGATGTTTGTGATGGTGGATTTGACATTTTTTCAGCACATTGAGAATCAATAGCTGAACACGAAGATGTTACACAAAGCAAATCAAGTCTGCCACATGCAGAAAACTTCCAGTAGCTCTTGGTTTCTGATGTTGCCAGGCCTGTGTAGGAGGGCAAGTGCAAGCTTACAACAAATAACACACAGCAGAGTGAATATTTCTATTGCCCTAGTTCAGCAGATGATCAGACCCTAAAGACCTGGGCATTTTTGCTTTCAAAACCCATATGTTGTTTAAATGTTTTAGATGGCAGGAGCTGACTCAATAACTACAGGGAGAGGTCTCAGTCATTTACAATATTTATTTAGGGTCAAGACTAGAAGTAACATTTACCTCCTTCTCCCTTATTTTCCAGTAAAACTCCTTGCTGATCATTAAAAGTTTCATATAAAATCTCCTTGTAACACTTATATAATTCCTTGGTCTGCATCTGTGCATCCAAGCCATAAACTCAGAAATCACTGTAACTGTCTATTATTCCGTGTTCTGTCTCCAGACTGTCCTTGTGAAGTTGACATTGGGCATTGACTGCCACTTCATTTGAAGACTTCAAAACAGCATATTAAATGCTGGAAATTGGGAAATAGATCAAATAATACAAAAATGGCAGGTATAATGTCAACTGTGAAACTTTTCATTTTAATGAAGGTTTTTAAACACAGTTCAGTGTTCTTTCAGTGTCCCAAAATTCCCAAATCATGAGTTTGTTGAAGTCCATCATTACAACCCTCTCCAAACTCCCTGAGAGGTACACACTTCTCTCAGATTAGTTCCTTCAGGCTGGGGTTGCTTCCTCTCTAAGGTAGTCTGTCCTGCCAGTAAGGCCAAGCTGAGTCTCATCAGCATGTAGATGAAACTACTAACACAGATGCCTGTAGCACATCTCTCCAGAGTGATGAGCTGCTGAACTTGCTACAGCCTGGTCCTCCTCACTCTACACAAGTTTCCCTGTGACATTTAAGGCTGAAAACAAGTTACCCCTGTGTGGTACCAAAAGGTGATGAAAAGTTGGTGATGCAGATCCAGTCTGTCTCCCTGGTTTCCCAGCACAGTAACAAATTTCACTGGACAGGTAACACTTCCAAATGCAATAAGCAGTCCTTTCCACAAGCACAAGAAAAAGATCTCCTTTCATGTGCTGCCTGGCCCTATAATTGTCATATTGAGTAGTTCTCACAGATTTGGCATGAAATACCCCTGTATCACACATCCTTTATGGTAGTCAGATACGTAATTCTGATGTGTGGCTAATACTAAAGAGCTGCAGACTTTGAAAAATCGTGAGGTTTCTCCACACAGGAATGCATTGCTTTTTCCTAACTCTGCACAATGTTATTTTGCTACTATGCAAATCAGGATGTTTATGTTGATAAAAATTAGCACTTGTCAAGTGTTAAGTCATCCAGGAGGCAGGCAGGACAGTAAAGCCAGGAAAATAACTTGTAGCTTCAAAATTTATCCAATGACTTCCTACCACTCATAGCTGCAAACAAAGACAAAATCTCCTTTATTTCAAGTAGGCAGAAATATCTGTGCTATAAAAAAGCAAAACCAAGCTCAGACGATATGGTGACTCACAAGCATGATAACATTAATTTGGTCAGGTACCACTAGCAACCAAACTGGTAACACTGGTCTCAGAACTGGATACTGCTCAGGATTTGCCCACGTCTTGAGCATGTTCTCTCCTCTCTGATCAATTCTCCATTATGGTTTCTTGTTTGCAGGACTAAAAGGTAACTCAGGTCTGTCCTCAAGTGCCACTGGCACAGGATCAGATATGTGCCTTGTATTTAACTGGACTGTATTTGTTTGGGAAAAAGACTTGTCAAGGTATTGGCTCAGTGTGTCCAACCAAACACATGAGCTGTTTATCCCTTCCAGGTAAAATTCCAGGCAGTCCTGTCTTTTTCTAAAATGATAGCTTCCTTATGGAAACATAAATTAGGTTATTTTTAGCCAGTTTCCTATGCAGTCAGTGTGTTCACACAAATGGGGCGAGGGGAAGGAGAGTTTATCCCTCCATCTCCTGCCAAGTAACTTTTGAATCCATCAAACAACTTTCACCAAATTTGATAGATCTGTAGAGAGCTCACCTCCAATAAATTTTAAGCAAGCAGGCAGATAGATAGAAGATAGAGACTCATAATGCTGCAAAACCACACAAGAGGTCTTTTAAATGTCCCCAGTGCAAATAAAGACAGTTGGCACTCATGTTTTCTTAGACCTGAAGAAACAAGCTGTAAGGAAATAGGGCTGTGTTACTCCTTCTGCTACTCTCAAAATAATCCACCCGACTTTGCACTAGAGCCCTGAGGGAAGATGGAGGAAAACAGATATTCCCATCATATCTATTGGACAAGTCTGGTGTCAAAACAGAAATATGAACAAGCCCCTGCTGTGGATCAATTAATGTTACAGTGTTCTTCAAAAGAAACTTCATTTTCCAGTTATGTTACATTTAAGAGTGTCATCTTGGACTCCTCAGCTGCTAAAGCAAAATCTCTGGCTGCAGAGGCTTGAGGGACTCTATAAAGCAAAGCTTCTCAGTCACTGTTTGCAAAGGTGCTGCCTTTCAATAAAGGCACTGCGTATAAATCTGTCTAGCTAAAACTTGAGCTCAGTGTTAGAGGAGGAAAAAAGAAAGGATTAGCAATTTCTGCTTTGGAGGTGGGTATCTCAGCTTTATTGATCTGCTCTGAAGGGAAAGTGCAGAGGGTGCTGAAGTAAAACATTTAAATGCATCCCTCACTGTTCAGGCATTTGAGCACTTGTAAAATGTCTGACTGTGGCACTGTTTTAAAAATGGTGCCCAAAAATAAAACCCCACTGAAGTTCTTAAAAGTGTCTTAAGTGCTCTGCAGGAAAAAGAGTCTATTTTAAATGTGAAACTCTCTTCAAATCCACGAGTGGACTCACAGCCACTAATAGTCTCAACTCAACAAAGACTTAATCGTGCATAAGGTGCCAAGATTCAATTTATTGTGCTACTTTTCAGAAGAGCCATGACACTTATAATGCCATTGGAAATCCAATTAGGCATCTTTTTGCAGACAATCTAACATTCAGGATCCCACACAGTGCAATACTGGCCCAAGGGGCAGAGCTAGGCAGAACTGGGAACAGTAATCATGCTATTCACAGGCTGACTCATCAGTCACTTCACCTCCCCAGGTGCACCAAGGCAGAAATTCATTCTATGGCTCCTAACCTCCGTCTTGCTCTCTAGCCCTCTGCTGGGAATCAAACAGCACACAGGGATTTCCCAGATCCTCAGGGAGGTGGTATTTAGCTTAGTAACATGTTCCAGGTCTCATTCCTGCCAGCCTACACCAGGCAGGGCAGAGCAGGGCAGCCCTGGGCGGTTCTTGTGCCTGTAAGCACAGAGCCCTGTCTGGCCTCCGTCACACGGGCGTTCCCACAGAACAGAGGTGTCTGCACTGTGAGCAGGATATTCCTGCCAGTTCAGTTCACCTTCAGGGGTATCACATCATGTCAGTACTACAAAGCTCCTGTATGCAAAACTAGAGAAAAGGCAAGGCTTGTCCACATGCAGCTTTTTGTCCCACACTGTCCTGCCAAAGCCACACCTGGCAAAGCTTCAGGGCTGGAAAGAGATACAGAGCAGAGACACACCAGCAGAGAACAGCCAAGATGCATAAAGCAAATTGAGAGGAATTGAGAGGCATCAAATCTGTGGGTTTGAATACACAGGTTACATCAGAGCTGTCTTCCCACAAAGAAAAGCTGATTAATCACCATGGCTTTATTATTAGAAGGAAGAGGGGACAAGCTCTGCTTCTAAGCCTAAACAGGCACAGAAAAGAGCTGTGTGATGAACGTAGAGGAGAAAAAAAGGCCACACTCCAACCTGTGAATTGCCCCAGAGCACCTTCTTGTTGAGAGGTCCCTTCTGAGGATGGTTTGAGTGACAGGAGGAAAGGCACAAAAGCACCTTTTGAGGTAATGGGAATGCTGCAGAGACCTGTGGGAAGGACAGTATTAAGCCATAACATCGCTGTTGGTCCTCACTGATTCTTCAGGCAGTCTGAAGCTGACAGCTTTTTTCCTCCATTTTCCTCAGCCTTCCTGTGCATTTGCTGTGCAGCCACATAGGTGACTCATGCAAATGGTTTGCAGCTTACAGGAAACACTGTCTGCTCCCTACCCAGCTTGTGGCTGTTCAGTGCCCCTATTCTTGGCTCCCTTTCCCCTGGAGAGATGGCTTTTTCCATCATCTTTGCCAAGAGTGGCATTTCTAAGATGCAAACCTGCAGCATGTGCTGTAATTCTCACAATATGCCTCCTGTGCATCAGAAGATGCTGTGAGAGGCACAAAATAGGCTCAGTACATCTGTCCCTTAATACCAGCTGCAGTCTCTCTCCCTCCTGGACTCAGATACAGTGCTATTGCAGACTGCTGAACAGATGTCACACACCACCCCAAACACAGCTGCATCTCACTGACAAGTTTTAAAACTCATGCTTTAGTAAGTCAAAGTGGTTTAGTATCTAACAACATCACATGGCATCACTAATTTACTCAGATAAAGCAGAAACTGCCATCCCTGTTGGCTTTGGACCAGCAGTAGAAAAGACTGTTTTCATCTTATGGAAATCGAGGATGATTTAGTAAAAATTGCACTTTAACCTGTGCTGAGAGCAGTTATATTTGGTGACTCAATAACAGGGAACAAAAAACAAACAAACAAAAAACCTCAACCAAACAAAACCAAAACTCTTTTCAAAAGCAATAGCACCAGTAACAATTTTAAGGGCAAAATATGGAGTAGATGGTGAGTAAAGACTGTACTTGCTGTACAATCTGATCCACAGAAGATTTTAAGGAGAAGTCTGAGCAAAGGGCACAGGTCATCATCTGCTTGATCCTTTCCTTATTGACTTCCATCTTTCTCTTCTGTTGACCAAAACTGAAGATTTGCATTTTCTTTTCTTGGCATCTTCAAATTAATACAGTGTCTCCTTTACACCCATCCACTGAGAGCGCCAGTCCATTCCACATAACTTGTGTTTTCCTTTGAAAACTGGGCCAAACTGTTGCATATTCATTACCACATTAAAAACACTTTGCCTGAGGCCTGCATTTCTTGCTGTGCTGTAATGAGTTCAAGACCCCAGCTGTCTGCCTGGTGGTTTAGAACACAGATATTTAATAGCAAATTATAAGGCAGAATATTTAATTTTACTTTTTTTTTGCTGAAGTAGCACATTTATAATGTTACCCTACAGCCACTAAATAAAGATGGGAAGAGCACATCTTTCTGTTTGGACAACACAGTCTCTGGGTTACCATGGTCTGGCCCTAGTCAGTTCAGGTTTTGGATGCCAGTCTCTGCTCTTAACCTATTACTGGATCTCCCTAATGTCACATCTCCCACTAGAGTCCAATAACACACTGGAGCAAACTGTTACATATTTCTAGCACTATACTAACAGCTCTTAAGCCCTACACAAAGCAGAGCAGCTAATAAAACCAAAATGTTCTGCAGTTAATCCTTGGAAGTTTGCCACTGAGATCCCACCACCACTGCTTCAGAGACAGTGGTTTTATAAAGCTCAGACCCTGCTTTCATCTAATGTAAAGGCCCAGATCCACATCCTGACAACACACTTCACAGCTTTATGCTTCCTCTGGATTCTGTAATGACAATCTACAAAACACGTAATACCATCAATTCTGACTGGGAAACCTTTTAGAGGACATTGGCATTCTGGAAAGAACAGCAGAGTGATAATTATTTCTCTAAGTAGTGCCAGATGTGCTTAAAAGCCACAAAGATAAACAGGAGAGAAAAAGCCACAGAGTTTGAATTAAAGCTAATAAGAGCATAAACAAGCCCCTCCAATAGCTGCAGGCTGACAAACCAAGCTCCTACTGATTCTTTTACCTCATCAAAAATCTGCCTTTCATATCTGCTTTCCTACTTGAAGTTACACAAGCATGCACCTCCTCAGAGTTAGTGTGTTGGGCTAGAACATGTTAATGGTAAAAAAAAGATTAGTCCACCTTTTCTCCAGAAAAGCTCTAAGACTCCCAGTGCCTCAATTACCATGAAATCCATGAACCACTACCTTCTGCTATGCTACCTCACCTCACTGCAATGGGAGACAGAAGGGAACAGTCTTGGGTATCTCAGCACCACAGGAACCACAGCCCTGCCCCTGGACATGCTGCTTTGCCTTATTTCTATCTGCATGCTTATTCTCTGGAATTTTGGCTAGTTTGGGTTGCTAATAGTCTGACAGACATACACAGCTGAGCAACATCAGAAGGGGTAATAGATCTTTTAATCCCCTATGTGAACAGGAAAAAAGTAAAAAAGGAGGAAAAAAAAGGAACAGAAGAAGTTTTTCCTGTGATTACTTGTGATTCAAACAATCTGGTCCCCACACAGCTATGTTAGTATAGAGGATACCTTCAAAAGATGTTCAACTGAAAAGCTCTGATCCTGCAATTTACCTGATAGAACAGAATGTATTCATTTCCTCATCAAGCAGCAAGATTCCACCAGTACATAATGCTCTGACTGAACTCCTTCTACTTCTGTTCTCTGATTTCTTCTACACCTTGGCAAACATAGCAATGCTTTGAGTTCTGGAGCAGAACAGAAAATAAATGTCCTTCTGCTCAGGATATGGTTTCTGTTGGCTTTACTCCCTACTCCAGCCCTTAGATTAGAACCTAGAACAAACACTACCCAACTTCAGAAGGACAGAGAAGGATTACAACCATACACTCTCCCTTAGCATATCTACCCCAAACTGGAATTTTATTAGATGGTTCCTGTGAACACGACTTCAGCAGGGATAAGTGAACAGGGCTGTGAGGTCAGTGGTTTGGCAGTAGCTCTGTCTAAAGAGACAGTTTGTACTAAGTAACATCTTAATTTCACAAGCCACACTATCTGTTTTAGCCTTTACAGTGCACTGCTCCTCTCTCTCTGCATGACCAGTGACTAACAGCTGCCCAAAAAGTGGAAGGAAAAACTCTTTAAAGACATTGCTTTTTATTCATTTTCAGGACACTAGTATTACAATTTTTAAATCACGTAACAGCATCAGTTCAGGGACTGCCCACCAGCAATGCCTACAAAGAGGCCAGAGATTACAGACCATCACCTCTGAGTAACAACATCTTCCCTTATGCAATATACATGGCTGGCAATGACTTTCCATCTCCTGCTTCAAGCCAGCACATCCTTCTCATGACAGGAAGAAGTGGAGTTCACAGCAGGTTTCTCAGCTTTTCAGCACAGATTTATTCCCAATCATGAAATGCAACCACAGAAGAGCCCACATCAAATTACACTAAGTCCCCACACTGAAAAACAGCACTGACACTTCAGCAAGCTCATGCCTACTGGCACCTCAGAGCCCATAATCACATGCCTCAGGGCTGTTCACCAAATACAGCTGGAGGTAGTTTTTGAATGTCTGTGTGTCAGTCATTGTAGCCTTGACAGCAGGGTCCCCCTTCATGGCCTCCATCCAGCGTTGGAGCTTTGGTGCGTGATTCAAAGTGCTACAGGAAAAGGGAAGAGACTGAGTTACACAAATGGAAAATCTGGAGGGCATCAAGGAAGGAAAACAACTTCAACAGTTCCATTTTACTATTTTCTCCCTCCCACCCAGCAGGTGACAGAAATAAATACCAGGCCATAGAAGACAAACTAGCATTTGGAATGTGCAAGGGTTCTTACAGAGCTTGTGGGCTCTGCAAAGCCCAGCAAAAACACAATACAGCACTTATTGTGCAAGGTATCACCATGTTTTTGCTTCCTGTTATCCCTGCTGCAAAACACACAGCTCTTATTTATCATCTGCCCTGAGCTGAGGACAGAGGCTTGTGCTCCACTGCCTCCCTCTGGAATGCTTTGTTCACAATGCCTCTTGAGAAAAATGCTGTGTGCAGTGGTTGAATTCTCACCTCCCAACCCATGAACCTCTGAGCCTTCTTGAATACCAAGACAAGCTGTGCAGTTTGTACAACCCTGCAACCCAGCAGCTCAAAACAAACAGTCTATTGAAGAAATTGAGGATTTGACTAACAGATTAAATCCACAAACCCACAGATATTAAAAACAAACTAAAACCAACAACAAAAAAAAAAACCTCATGTGCATAGTCTGAGGTTTTGGATAAAGAAATTTGAACTTAGGCTGCCATATCTCCATCCCTTCAAATAAAGACTATTTTCATCTATGATACTAGGAATGGAGATAAAGTCCTGTATTTCGACCAGTTCTTCCAGGTCTGTCACAATTATTTGGTAGGAAAGCAGACCTGGTGAAAGAAAGCCTATTTACAGAAGATCCTTGAACAACTCATCTTTTTTTTTTGTAAGATGCTTCCCCCCAACTGCAACACAATACAAACCTTCTTCAGCGGCCCCCATGAGTGTCTCATTGTTGCATGTATGCAAAGAATATGTATACTGAGGCACTTCAGAACTCACTAGAAGCTAGGCAAGGTACTCACTCTTTCAGCTGGAATGCTTCCAGGCGTTCAAACCACGGCCAGATCATGTAGTCAAGCATAGAGATGGAGTTCTCACCAAAAAACACAGTGTTGCATTTGGACAGAATCTGTGAAGGGTCAGAGATGTCACTTGTCCCCAGAAGAAAAAGTAAAACAGAACAATACCAAAAAGCCCAATACATAGGGGGATGCAGGGAGACTGTAGGGATCAGACAGCAAATAAAGGATACATGTATTTCTCTTGTGCATGCAATATTGGCAGAGTACAGTTAAGCTTAATACTACAGCTGCTATTTCACAAACTGTCAGTCCAACTCTTTTCCATAGATTCAAAAACTGTCACAAAATATGAATCACTAGCAATCTGCAGCATGTGCACAAATAAAGGAACTTAGCTCTCAGAATCTGTCAGTTTGTGATTTTTTACTCTTCAAAAGTCATTAATGGCACAGACTAATCAAACATAACACACGTGCATTTCTTGAGCAATAAATCCAGCTAAATTTAACATCCAGGTAAGTAAGAGTACCATTTTAGAAGGGACTCTTTTCCCATGGTAGTTGAGGCCACATGGTGTTAGGGAAACATTTCTAACATTACATGTCAAAGTGCATTTCATTCCAGGTGCAAAGGCAACAGGAAGCAAGTGTAAGTTAAACCAGAAAGAGATCCTCACAGCTCAGCACAGAAAGCAGGGTCACAAAGAATCCAGCAAGTTCTCCCGTTACATTGGCAGTTCTGATGCATTTTTAAGTGCCACAGTCATCCAAGTTTAACATGCTTTAAGGACCCTCCAGAGCTTGGTCTCCTCTTCCATTAGACCAGTCCCTCTGTTTTCAGGCATTTTAAAGGTGGAACTCAAGAGACCTTAAAAATCTTTGTCTTTTTGGACACTCACCACTATTCTATACTTGTATGGCATTTATCCCCTGTGCCTTAATCCCCATGATCTAGTAGAAATGTCACAGCAGCCCTTCAGGAAGCATCGAGCTGTTTGAGTTTCCAGGTGTCTAGCAAAGCACAACCAGCCACTGCACCGGTGCAGAGATGGGAGCACAGCCCCCTCTGTTGGGCAGCAAAAATCGAAATACAGAACTGTTTAGAAACATCTCCCCTCTGGAATATCACTTGCAATAGGCTGAGGGAAGTTTGCACAGCTCTGTTCCTGCCTCCTATCCTCAGCTGACTGTCAGCTGCTGCTGCAAAATCCTTCAGGGCATAGTAAAATAGAGACACTGAAGGAACAGCAAGTATTTCACTGCATTGATCAAGAGGGAAGATTAATCTACCCTGAAATACAACTCTATTAAACATTAAGGAAAGTGAAACACACATGACTTCCCTCAAGAACTCATTTGTCATCTGCACTACTCCAAGCTTAGGCTGATCAGACAAACAAGACTACCCTGAAAATGACTCAGCATGTTCTATGACTCTATGAACTCTTCTTAATTGATCCAGACAGGCATTAGTTGTGGCTGCTAAAAAAGCAGAAGGAATGGGTTCATGACAAAGGCAAGTCCAACAGCTGTTCGGACTAGCCAAGAACCACTACTGACTGTCAAGTGATTAATACAGCATCAAAGCCACCTGACACCTGCTGGAGCTCTGCTGAAGTTGCATGACACCTCGAGTGGCAGAACATGGTCCAGGGCTGAATTTCTACAAGGCACAGATTACATTCTGCTTCCCCCCCAACCCCCCCAACAAAGGTAATCTGTCGAATGAAAAAGACTTTATATCATCACCGGCATGTCTGCGCTGATTTCAGCAGAGCTACAGAACAGCTGCTCTTCAGCAGCTCAGGCTCCTCAGCCTCTTAGTACATCCTGCAAGGTGTCCTTACATTTAAAGCAGAACAAAGACAGCCAAGCAACAGCAGTCAGCTAGAATTCAAAAATCTCCACAAGTCCACACAGTCTTCCTCATCAGATAAAGTTTAGTTTAGCTACTTGACATTTACTCTAATGGTGCTGGTTGTGCATTCTACGCTGGGAGTAGTAAACTGAAAGATTGTTCCTTGTTGTAGCTACCAACTAAATGAGAAGAGATCTTTCTCCAAAGGCCACAGCATGAAAGGAAAAAAGAGATCACACAAAGGCTGACAACCTGCTCATTATCACGAAACACTCTTACCTCTTCAAATTTGCCAAACTTTTCAGCAATCTCTGCTTTCAGTGCTGTGGTGTCTTGTCCATCTTTGACCGCCACGACATGCTTGAAAAGTAAGGGTACTATCTATAAAAGGAAAGTATGAAGTTTGTAATGTTCCTATTACAATAATACAAGTCAGTCACTCAGAACTTATAATATTAACTTAGATGTTAAGATACTAAATGCAAGTTAAATTTTAAAGATTTGACTTTAAAGAGCTAAATAAAGTCCATTAATAAAAAACTTCTATACTTCAGAAAAGGTAAGCAAAGGCTTATAAGAAAAATTAACACAAATAGTAATGAATCTTAGTATTGTAATAAGAGGAGAATAGTGAAAAGAAGGGTATGTTTCCCATCTGCACATCTTCTTTCTTGCAACATGATTCCTTGTAACCCTCTTCCCATCAGGTCTATCCAGAAAGGCCTGTTGCAAATATATCCTCCCTTCTATCCCCCTTCTTCGTCCACATCTCTTTGCATCTTTTGTTGCTTCCTCTCCTGTCTCATATCCAAGCTGTCTTCTTTCACTTCCTAGACTCCTCAAAGGATATGCTTGTACAGAGAGGTTAACTGCAGTCAACCACCTCCAAACCAAAATGAGAGCCAAACCCAGCCTCCTTATACATGTCAACAGCCACATACCATCTCTTGTCCATGACTGTAGGCTCTCTCCATCAGGCACTCCTCATATTCTGCATTCGCACAGTACTTCCAACACAAATAACTTGGGTTAAATACAGCAATTGTCACTGCCTAGGTCTCAAGTATTCAGCTGGTTTGGTCTATTAACCTCTGCTCTACTGTACAATGCTCAAAATCCTACCTCTTCCTGCATCCATCCCCACTCATAAGTGCTGGGAGCAATTCAGAGACACAGTGATTTGTATGTGCTCACATCAAGAGACCCCACATACCCCCTCCAGTTATTTAAATGGTTTTCCCAGACACAAGACCCGCCTCAAAAGATGGATGCAGCCTCAGCAACAGAGCTGCAGTTTTTGGTGAGATGGTAAGGTAAAACACATAATCCTACACTGATCAGGCACTACCTTTGAGAAGTCTTCCAAGATCATCTTCTGACGGGCTCGCTCATACGGGTCTGAAGGCATCAGCTTCTTCTCTGGAAATGCCTCATCCAAATATTCACAAGTGATTGGGGACTCCCAGATCAGTTGGCCCTTGCTGGTCTCCAGAACAGGGACCAGCCCAGAGGGGTTCTTCTCAAAGAACCAGTCAGGTTTGTTCTTCAGATTGATGTTGACTACTTCATGGCTAAAACAGCAAAACAAACAAGACCCAGACAGGCTCAGTTCTGCTACAGTCCACTCCATACCATGGTGAAACACAAGCCATTATACCTCAAAAGTTCAGTATTGAGAGGCTGAATCCTCATTCCCTGCACTCCCCCCATTTTCCCTGAAGTTGTTTGCAGGACTAATCCTTTGATACAGAAATACTGCCATACTTTGCTGGAGAAAGTCAGGACTGATTTAAAATGAGTTGTTTGTTGAACTAATAAAAGACATGCACAGTCTGCAAGCACATGACAGAGGCAGCCCTTATTGTCATGCTAAAAACAAAGGTCAGAACTCAGCATACTTATCACATGTAGGTTCAAGGGCATTCTAAAAAAGTAACACTTAAATTGCCAATAAGCTACACCCCAATTAAGAAATGCAGCTGAACTTTAACCTGTCCTTATGCCAAAGAGCAAATCAGGAGAGCATCCTACCTACTTATCTTCCCAAGCTGTGGCCATAAAATAGGTGTTTAGGGTAAAGGCAAAAAGATACTGATAAAAAAAGGTATGTGGGAAATACGTCTATATTAACAAACCGTAAGTTAAATGCTGTGCTATATGTGTGACCCCACAAAATTCCCAGTAAACCCAAAGGTCTGCTAAACACAGCTGAACCTTCAAAACCACTGAAAGGTTACCAGAAGGCAACTACAACATCTAGCCATAAACCGCCTACAGAATCACTACAACAAACTTCTCAGCACTAAATAAAGACAGAATTATACTGGCCTGGAAGTTTTACTGCATGTACTCTTTCAAAAAAAGACCCATGGAAAAAATAAAACAAACTCAACTCTCACCTCGCTGTCAGGAGTACTGAATGGTAAGCATTCCCTATGTTACATGAACTCCCAGCCCTGTGTTGGTTAACAAACCATTGGGAGGCCTGCAACTTGGTGGAATCAGAAAAAGATGTAAAACCTGTTACTTTTAAGTTGTAGACTGAGGGAAACATTGGACCCCGTTTAAGAACACTGAAATGATATGGCTATCTTGAAAAAGAAACAAGCACAAATACTGAATTCCATTAACTCACTACAACACAGGAATGAAACCATGTTATAGAACACAGTGCATTTCCTCTTTCAAAAAGGCCACTCACTATTGTGTTTTGCTGGGCAGTAATACAACAGAAACGCTAAATATTCGTAGCTCCCAGAACTTTCACTGCTACTCTCATCAAAAACAAGCAAAAGCGTATGTTATGTCTCTACTCACATTTACCCAGGATAAGCTCCAATGCTATTACTGTAAACATTCAGGATGTTTACTTAGCGAGAAGAAAAAAAAATAATCAGCTTGGGGGTTTTCCCTATGGATTTGGGCAATTTTCCTATGGATTTGGGCAATGCTTGCAGTCACAGGGTGTGCCTTTTAGGGATGTCCTGTGCAGGGCTAAGAGTTGGACTTGATGATCCCTTCCAACTCAGCATACTCTGTGGTTTACTTTGGGCCTTTACATAGTTAATTTCATACATGTGCTTCAGAACAGCCCTCTCCCCCACCCCCCCAAAAAAAAAAATCAAAACGCGTTAAGTTCAAGTTTTAGAGCAAAACCACTCACAGAGACCTCTTTTCAATCAGTTCTTCCAGGACTGTTTTAACCAAGAGCCATTTAGGAGAGAAGGGAGGGGTGGGCCGCCCCCGCCCCCGCCCCGCGGGGTGCAGGGGCCGCGCAGAGCTCACCTGATGCCCTTGGCACGGAGAACCAGGCGCGTCCTCTCCGCGAAGGGGCAGAACCTCATGCTGTACAGCCGCAGCAGCCCCCCGGGCACGGGCCCCGGCGCCGCGCTACCTGCGGGGAGAGGGGTGTTACCGCCGGCACTCACCCCGCGCCCCCCACAGCCCCGGCACCGCGCCGCTCACCCTTGCCCAGGCTGCGGGAGTGATCGCCCGACATCCCGATACGATGCGATGTGTCGCGACCTGCCTCGTCCCACCGCGCCTCCCTCGCCCCAGCGCCGCCGGCCCCGCCCGCGGAAGGCGGCCCCGGGGCGGGCCGGAGCCACCGCCCTCAGCGGGGCGAGGGTCAGGGCCCGCCTCCCTCCTTCCCTCTCACCCCGGGGCTCCGGCGCCCCGTGTCGCCGGCCCGGCCCACATTTGCCCAGTCCTTTCTCCTTCATCTGAGCCCCCTCCCCACCCAGCTGGGACAGGCACTGTCAAGCTGCTCTCCGTGCTCCCTCTGTGTGGTTATACCCTCAGCACAACCACCCCGCTGGCGCCCCCGTGTAAGTGGGACACCCACGGCCGAACTCCACCTCGCAGGCCAGGTGTTTGTTTATGAGCTGTGCCCCCAGCAGCTGACAAGGCACCAGGCTCCCCTCATTGCCTCCTCCTGCTACGGCAGTGCTGCATCACCTACTGCCCTGCGAAACCCACAGTAATAAGGAGGGTTTCTCCCTCCTGCAGCTATTCTGCTTCATGGTAAAAACACAAGAGGAGAAAATAGATAACCCAACGGACAAGGGGGCACAGCAAAAGTTAGATTTACCTTCGTTACTACCTTGCAGTCATAGAAGGATTCATGCTTGTTCTGCAAACGGGGCCTGTTGGGAGCATCAGAGTGTGCATAGAGCAAAAGAAAGAACCAAAGCTCAGACTGGAGTGCTCATCATCCTTTTTGCTCCCTCTTTGGTTGAGATGAGCACACCAGGGCCATCCTTATACCGTCTTTTCCTGGGGTATAACAGTGGAAGTCAAGGAGCTTTCCTCTTAATGTGTTTTACACACAGTGTCCAAGTTGATATATAAACAGAGAAGTAAAGTGATTCCCTTTCTGCAGCTCCACACACTTCCACCTATCTTCAGGTCAGAGCTCTTTGTTATTAGGAAACAGCTCATTTGTAGGGACCAGAGGGCTGGGGCAGCCCTTGCCAAAGGGAGAGAAAGTCCTGGCCTTCCTGGCAATGTACACATCTCTGTCAAACTCCCAAGGCTAATAGAGGGATTGGGGATTCTCCAGTCTCATCAGTGGATCCGTACATGTACAGTGGGGAAGTTTTGCCTGTTAGCGACTTTTGGTTCCTCTGAGTACCTATCCTTAAGAAAGATTCAGCAAAATTTTGGGTGAAGAAAAAAGAGAAAATTAATTTGAAATTTCTCATAGCAATTAAGAAATACGCAGGCAATCTGTTGCCTCACAACCCGGACACAGGCACACGGGAACCTAGAGTAGCATTACAACACCCACATGCTACAACAGGCCCTCAGAAGCACCAGAGAAAATAAACTTACTTCCTCATTCTCTCCTGGTTCTGTGTGGCATACAAAGCAGCTGTGGAGACAAAAGGTAAGGAATAGGCTTGTCCTGCTGCCTCTGGACAGAATGTCATGCTCCACTGTTGCTCTACAGCACTGTGAGTACACAGCAGTATTGCAAAACTGCATGCTGCCACTGTACAGCTAAGTAACAGCAAGCTAACACAAGCAAGCAAGACACTATAAATTACATTCCTTCCTTAGGAAAGGGAAAAGAAGATTTTGTTAAATCTGCTTTTTAAATGTTTGAAGGTTCTTACAGCGTTACCAGTACACAGGGAAAGACCACAGCTGTACTTCCTCTTTTTTTTCCAGCAGACTTCTCAGCTCTCTGAAGCTTCAGGAGCCCCATCTTATAGAGTCCAAGAACTGTAGTACCTTATAGAATCATTAAAGTTGGAAGAAACATCTAATATCATCAAATCCAACTGTTCACCCAGCACTACCACTGTAGTAGGAAATGGTATCTACATCCGATATCGTACTGATGGAAGCCTGTTCAACCTAAGGCTACTGAAGGCCCATACTAAGACTTTAAATCATCTTGTCCGTGAGCTGCTTTTTGCTGACGCCCCTCTCATTGCCCACACAGAAGCAGCTCTGCAGCATTTAACATCCTGCTTTGCAGAGGCTGCTGAGCTTTTTGGGCTGGAAGTCAGCTTGAAAAGACAGAAATTTTCTACCAACCTACACCTCAGGAAGTCTTCCATCATCCCCATATCATCATTGGCGAATCAGAGCTCAAATCAGTCCAGCAGTTTAATTATCTGGGAAGCATCATCTCCTCGGGTGGTAAGATTGACAAAGAGATAGACAACAAGTTAGCAAAGGCATATAGTGCTTTCGGAAAATTCCCTAAAAGAGTTTGGTGTAATAAACACGTGAAGAAAAGTACAAAGGTTAGTGTTTACAGAGCCATTGTACTATCTACTCTTTTATATGGATCTGAATCATGGGTCATTTACCACCACCACTTGCAACTCTTAGAATGCTTCCATCAGCGCTGCCTCTGTACAAGCCTAAACATCCACTGGACTGATTACGTGACTAATGCATGAACAGGCAGCGGTTACGAGTATTGAGGCCATGTTGCTGAGAACACAGCTGCACTGGGCAGGGCACGTCTCCAGGAGGACTACCATCTCCCTAAGATCTTGCTCTATGGTGAACTTGCCACCGGCTGCCGCAAGAGAGGAGCCCCAAAGAGGAGATACAAGGACTCCCTGAAACAATATCTCAGCTTTGGCCATATCGATGATCATCATTGGTCTACTCTGGCCTCCAGTCCAGAGGTCTGGAGACACACTATACATAACGCTGCACTTCTTTTGATAACACACAGAGAATCATTCTTGAGAAGAAAAGACAATGCAGAAAGAATCACATCTTGCCAATACCGCCTAAGGAGACTTTCCACTGTGCCTTTTGCAACCGGACTTGTCTATCTCGCATTGGCCTTTTTAGCCATCAGCATCTTTGCAGCAAGCATGGGTAGAGTCCTTCTCAAATCTTCATTCCCAAAGCCTAGCCATGATGATGACCACTGTAGCTCCTAAGCCTCTAAATCCAGATAACTCATAAATACCTCCAGGGAAGGAGGTGTTCCTTGTAAACAAGTCCACCAGGAAAGACACAAGAGGTGACAGAAGAACAGTTCAACTGTCCCACTAACAGAAGGGCAGATGATACCGGCCCAGAAGCAAGGACACGCAGGGTGACCAAGAGGAGGAACCCGCGGTCACTGGGCCAGGTTCAGAAGTACCTTCTGCTGTCTTGCTGGCCCTTTAAATACCCGCCCGCGCTCAGTGATTGGGTGGCGCACGAGCGCGGGCCAATCAGGTGTGCTCTCCGAGCCTGGCCAATGGCGGACGCCGTTGCTGTTGCTAAGGCATGAGCGGCAGCGGCGTCGGGGGCGATGGCGGCGGGTCCCGGCCGGGAGCTCCCGGCCGAAGAGGCCGCGCTGGAAGTGAGGTGGGGGCGGCCGGCACAGCCTCCACAGGGGCCCTGCGGTGGTGGGGTCTGTCAGGGCAGCGCGGGTGGAGAGGGGAAGAAAACACGTGCTCCCATTCCCCCCTTGCGTGTAGCAGAAAAGGCCAAGAGCAGAAGGTCCTCAGAAAAGATAACAAGAAGTTATTGCTGGACATAAATATCTCAAGACTAGTAATTTTAATATGTTTGTAAGTATGAGAGTGCAGAGGCTGTAGTACCATCTTCTTCTGAGTACAAAGGATCAGCAGCTGAGCTGATCTTATGGCTGACTTATGTTCGTGAAAGGAGCATAAAAGTGCTTCTAGCAATTGCAGAGGACAAAGGTCTCTCCCAGTCAAATGCTCTTATTTGGAAGAAGAGCAGAGATGGAAATTAGAAGAGAAGGTGGTAACAGCAGTGTTGTGCACTGAGGGTTACACTGCTGGAACTGTCCTGCCATGGTACTAGCAGGCTAACCTGACATCCTCACTTAGTGATAAATCCCTTTGATAAGAGGACCCTGATGTTTATCCACACGATTTCTGAAAGGTAAAAACATCTGCAGGTAGTTATGAATTTGTTGGCATGTTGTAAGTTCATAAGCTGACCACGCTTCAGTAATTTATTTCAGTCCTTGTATAACACATCCTGTTTACATTCCAGAGTTTTGCCATGTTAAAATACTGGTGTCTTTAAAGCAGAACAGTCCTCCTGGTTGGGTTCATTTAAACACAAGCTGTGCCTTGCTATTTTTTTATTTTATGGGGATGAGATGAACTATGAAAGTGTAAAAAGGTTAAGCAAACACAACAGGGTCCCAAGTACAAATTGTAGCTCTGCAGTTCTTTCAGAATAGGGGTGTATGCTTTACTGTGATATATGAGTACAAAACCAGAGTCTGTGAACTAATTTTATTTTTAGTGAAAACTGGAAGAAGTACAAGCATTTCTCCATATTCTTACACCAGTCTGTTGTGCTCCATCAGGGTAAGATTGACCCTATGTTTTTGAAAACACTGAACTGGTGACTCATAATACAAAATCTTGAAGTTATTGTGGTTTTGCAACATTATTGTGAGGATGAGTCTTACAAATCCCAAGCATGAGTTCAATGTAACTTAGGCTACAACATTCCCTTTAGCACAGTATTTTGAGAAACGTGTGTCATTGATTAATGTTTTAATGTTCAGTTGCTCTATTTCCAGTTGGGTTCAGGGATTCTCAAACAAGAGCTTTGGCTTTATCAACAATCAAACTGTCTGCTACCCCTGTGGTAATTACATCCTCTTCCTGGACATTAAAACAAAGAAGACAACAGCACTACAGTGTCAGACGGGCCCGGTGGGAGCCTTTGCAGCAAATGCCAGCAGTGAAGTGGTGGCCTTTTCCGACCGGAAGCTGAATCCCATCATATATATCCACCATTTTCCAGAACTGAATAAACTGACAGAATTAAAAGGTAGTGATGTGGTAACCTTCCTCATCACCATTTCATTAAAACAATACTTTAATAATCCAGTTTCTGAAGTTATGGTTTTTTATATGAGTTAAAAAACAGTGTGACAGGGAGCTGTCTCAGGACAAGATTCATGGAAAGCAGTGGAAGGAGTCTTCCACTGCACTGCTTTTACTTAGGTTCAAGCTGGGGAGGAATATGACAATAGATAATGAAGCTGATCTAAAAGGAAAACAAAAGGAATTAAGTGGAATTAGTTTTAGGAAAATATAGTTATAATAAGCAAAAAAACCCATAC